GTGCAGTTCCAAACCCCGAACCCCGGCCTCCCCCAACCCCGACCCCGGACCCCAACCCGGCCTCCGCTGACCTGGCCGGGAGCCGGACCCGAACCTCACCTGCCTCGCGCCGCCGCCACCCGAGGCCTGGTCCGCGCCGCCCAGACTCGGCCCCGAGAGGAGACCGTGCCAGCGCCGGCCAATCGCGCGCTACGCCCGGGGGCGGGGGCGGGAGCCACGCGGACGTCCACCAATCCCTAGAGCGCCACCTGAAGCTCCTCGGCCAATGCGGAGGCGGCCTGCCTAGGGGCTCGGCCAATCGCGAGCTGAGGCGGAGTCGCGGGGCGGGGTAATGGGCGGGGCTCCGAGGCGGCGCGCGGAGGATCGGGGAGGGGCGAGGGAGGTGGGCGTGGCGGGCGCGCGGGTGCTGGGAGGGCAGGGGCGGAGTCTCGGAGAGGACCACCTTCTGTTGGGCGCGGGGGGCCGCGTCTAGGGGAGGACCCGCATCTGGCGGAAGGGACCGTATCTGGGGGAGGGTCCACATCCCTCGGAGGACCCCCATCTTGGGGAGGGGACCGTATCTGGAGGAAGGTCCACATCCCCTGGAGGACCCCCATCTCGCGGAGGGGACCGTATCTGGGTGAGGGTCCACATCTCCGGGAGGACCCCTATCTCGAGAAGGGGGGCGCATCTCAGGGAGGGCTCCCATGTCGGGGAGGACTTCCATCTCGGGGAGGCAGCAGCCAGACCACCCCATGTCCAGTCCGGTAGTCATTGCAGCCCTCGCCCCTGCTGCCGGGCTCCCAGGAGAGCCCCCGGTTCCCACGGGGCCCACCTCGCCGCCCTGCTCTGGGCAACTCACCCCGAGCCCCCGCCCCAATACCTCTGCGACCTCCAGAGCCTCTGGCGTCCCCCCAGGTCTAGGCAGCAGCACCCCACACACACACCCCCACTCCAGGGCTCCAGGTGTGCGCTCCTCCCAGGCGGCCTCTCCCACTGGGGCACGCGGAAGCCTGGTGCTTGCAGAGCCAGGCGTCAGGCTCCTCCTGTGGCCTGTTTCACGCCTCTTCTACTGCCCCAAACCGAGAAGCTCTGCACTCTCCTCTCTGTTCTCCCAGGAACAGTACAGATGACAACAGGCTGCACTTGTGTAGGGTTCCGCCCTTTACTATCTCTTTCCAATTGCCTAACTCTCCTTCCAGCTAGATAAGGAAGCTATTATCATCCTCTCTTTACAAAAGAGGAAAGCTGGCAAGGTCAGGGAAGAGACAGAATATTCCAAATAGAGCCATATCTTAAAACTGAGTCCACTGTTCCTTCCAGCCTGCCACACTGCCCCCTCCGAGAAAGACTTCCACCACTGCAAAGGAAAAAACCAGTTGCAGGGGTTGTTTTAATGAGAGCATATTTATTAACAGTAATGGCAGTGGGGCAACACAGTTTTATCTCTGTGTCTCTATGGGGTTTAGAGCCATCCTTTCTGCTTCACTTAGGTTATAAGCTCACAGCACAAGGGCGGTGTCTTTCTGTGAGATTATAGAAAGTCTCACGCTTGGTGTAAATTCTACAGATGCCTTTTCATAAGGGGAAGTAGATGTTCAACTGAAGAAGTGACAAAGGAGGGAGGAGAGAAGGGTTTTTTTTTCTTTTCAGTGTTGCCCCCGAGGGTGGGGGTGGATTGAGGAGAATAAAGATCTGGATTAATTCTAGACCTGCATTGTCCACAGTAGCTACTAGCCACATGTAACTAATGAGCCCTGGAAATACGGCCAGCCCGAATTGAGATGTGCCATGTGTATATAAAATACACACAGAATTCTGAAGACTAAGGGTGAGAAAGAAAGAAGGTAAAATATCTCATTAATATTTTAAAATATTGCTTACATGTTAAATTGCAATATTTGGATATATTGATTAAATAAAATACGTTATCAAATTTCATGTTTCTTTTTGTTTTTTTAACACGGCTACTAGAAAACTAGAAAACGAAAATAAGATTTCGTAGGTGGCTCCCGTGATATTTCTAGAGGACAGCAGTGTAGACGTTAGTGGAGATTTCTGGATAAGGATCCTCACTGAAGACAGATCACGGAATCTTCTTCCTCCCAATAATTATGACATGACCAAGGACAGCTAAAAAAATAGTTCACCAGCAACAACGAACAAGGAAGGATGCAAACCTACAGGCCATAAGGCCAAAGGAGGAGGTTCTGGTGGGGCTCAGGAGACCCCCGGGAGGTGCTGGATAACCAAAGGGAGTCGGCAAAATCCTGAGGGTCCTTACGAAGGACCCCCACCTGCCAGTTTTCAGAGGAATAGCTGAGGGGGAGTGGGCAGCATCGGGAAAGACACGGAAAAGCCTTTGAGACAGAAGCCCTGGCTGCCCACCTTGAGACTGCGGTGGAGCCAAGGCAAGGCCAATGCCACCCCCACACCCTATAGCACTGGCCCTCTCCCTATTGACTCATCTTAAAACCATTCAAGACCCCACCTGCTCCCACCCCTAGCTAGAAACTCTGGAGAAGCCCATGCCTCTCAGCATCCGAGAAGTTGGGCAGAGCCCAAAGGGTGCAACATTTGGGTCTCTAGGCAGGGAAGGGGGGGAGTCAAGGAGGAGGCAAAAACATCCTGGCAGAAAACAGCAAAAACAGACGGGCACTGAGAACTCACCTGCATGAGCAAGACAGACAGGATGCTCTGAGGGAGTGAGAAGCGTGGCGAGCAGGGATGAAACTGTCCCCCACCACGCCCGCACACTTGATGAGGGAAGAAACCCATGACGCCCGTCTCTTGTCTCTTCCGCCTGCGGCAGTGAAGGTCATGGGGAAGAGGCTGGAGCCAGGGACCACCCAATGGAGTTCCTCCCTCACAGATCCGCATCCACCCGGACTGGCTTCCATCTAGTTTGTGTGGACGTTTCTCTTAGGTGTAGTTCTTTGGTTTTATTATCTATGCCTCACTTTTCTCTCAAGAATGTGAGTTTTGATTTTTTTTTTTTTTTTTAGATCATTAGCTTTGATGGTCTTCAAATTGCTGTGAAAACCTTAAATTCAATCTGTTGTTTATACTGTCAAATCTATTTAGGGGAAAGATTTTGACGGAGGGTTGTGCGAGCTCTGCACCCAGAGCCTACTGCCCGGGGTTCTCACTTGAGAAGATGGACATCTGAGCACTAGAACCTCGGCCCCCTCCCCATGCTGGCCTCCGCCCTCTCACACTGGAGGGCCGGCACAGCCCGTAAGGCCTCTGTCTGAGGAGCACATTAATGGAGGGACAAGGAGAGGCAGGCAGGAGGGTCCGGGGGCTCTGTGCCTGGGAGCCTCGCCTCTAAGCACAGCCTGGGTCTGTGTTCCTCTGCCTGGGGGTAACCGCCTGGCGGGATACTGGGTGACATGCTGCACTTCCAAAGTGTCTGTCCCCTGGGTTCCCCATCTTCCCACTGCTGCTGACCGGTATGGAGTAGCCGTAATATTGGTTTCACAGCTGGGGAAACTGAGGCAGAGGCCACACCAGCAGTCTGGCTGGAGTGGAGACCCAGGGACAGTGACTCCATAGGCCAGGCACAGCATGCCTTGGCCTGCTCTCTGTCTTAAGGCCGGGGAAGTAGCTCGAGGACAGCAAACGCCTGTCGACTAAGCTCCAGGAGGGAGGAGCGTTTTTTCTCTGTGAGCTCACATCTCCCATTTGGCAGCAGGTTCTGTCTTTTGGTTGTAAACAGAACCCGACTCCCGAGAGAGGAGTAAGAAAGACTGGCTCGGAAACCCAAGCTGGAGGCTGTGTGCATCGAGTCAGGGCGTGCTGGCGGGTGGGCAGAAGGCAGGGCCCACAGAGAGCCAGGTGAAGGAATATTACCCGGAGCAGCACCTCAGAGGCTAAGGAAACCCCATTCTCTTAAGGAGACGAGCTGACTTCCCCACGTGCTGGGTCTCCGTCCCACTTGCTTCTGGTTCCTCCTTTGTGGGGGGAGCACCCACAGTGGAAATGTGGTCAGACCCTGCGGCCAGCGATGGCGGGTCCCAGGTCCTGATGTGGTTTCACAGCACATGACCATAGGGAGTCCTAAAAGGAACATGACTGAGAGCTGGGACAGTCCCCGCTCTGGCCAACTTTTGCAAAATCCAGAATCCAAAGTTCCATTTAGAGATGTGCTCCATTGACAGGGGTCTGTCTCTGCTTTACTCACCCCCCATCCCTAGAAGCAACAGTCAAGAGCTGTGGGAGCGTTGTGAGGAACGGCACATCCAGATGGCTGACGTTAAGTGGTGGAGAGCAAATAGACTCTAGGGGAGGGTCTTTCCTCGTCCCTTCCAGCTTCTGGTGGCTTCTGACGTTCCTCAGCTTGTGGCCGCATCTCTCCATCTCTGCCTCCATCTTTGCCTGGTCTTCCCCTGTGTCTCTATGTGTCTCCTTCTCCTGTAAGGTCACTTGTCATTGGATTTAGGGCCTAATCTAGGATGAACTCACCTCGAGATTTTTTCCTTAATTAGATCTGCAAAGACCCTTATTCCAAATGAGGTCACATTCGAGGTTCGAGGTGGATGCATCTTTTGGGGTCATTAATCAACCCACCACAGTTGTTCAACAAATGTGCTGAGGGACATCTCGCTCCCCAATTCTTTGCCAAGCAAAATAGTTTGCATCCTAAAAATCAAAAAACCATCCCAGATCTCCCCCTACCTACGCCCTCATTTCTCTCCTTGAGAGAACTGTCTTTGCTCACTCTCTCTCTGTCGTCTCCTCTCATTCTCTCTAGAACCCTTCCTCACCATGCCACCAAAACCACTCTTGCTCAGGCCACCAGTGACCTCCAGTTCACTGAAGCCAACAGTTGGTTCAGGCCTCATCGTGATCTGCCAGCGTTTTGCCCAGTGACCATGCACTCCTCCTCGACACCCCTCCTCTCTCCGCTCTGGGCGCCTCTCTGATTCTCCACCCATCCTCAGGCTCCTCCTCAGCCTTCTTGGCTAGTTCTTCTTCATCCCTCTGACCTTTAGACACTGAGGAGTTCGAGGTTCATCCTTATGTCTTATTTTTGTCTACACCCTTTCAAGACCAGTCTTAAGATGATGACGCCCAAATTCCCTTCTCTAGATGGGAACCATCCCTGAACTCTGGATGTGGACGTCATGTTGCCTGCTCTCCTCCTCCTCTTGGGTACCTCAGAGGCGTCTCCAATTT